ATCTTCAAAAGGGTAAACAATATTTTTCTGATTTTTGTTGTTAAGATGTTAAGATGTGTTGAAAATTTTGAAAAATTCCACATTTGAACATTTTTAAAAATTCCAATTTTGAAAATTCCAATTTGAAAATGAAAAATCCTGCCAAGTGGGGTCAGAAAATAATTTTTCTCTTTAAATTAAGTTTATTTTTCCGGCCACATTGGCAGAAATTTGTTTTTAAGATATATATATATATAAAATAGAGATTTAAGATATCTTGTTTTTTTGAAAAATGTATTTAAAGTGCCCTAGTAAAAAATTAACATATTTAAAATACATTTATTTCATACTAAGTATAGTTCAAATCTATTAACATATTTACTGACAGATAACTCGAGACTTACTGATATAAAAAAATATAATTAAACTTTATTTGGCGTACTACTTGTGCACAATACACTTTTCTTAATATGAAGTCTAAAATGTGTTTTAAATGTGTTTTTGATGAGGATTGTATGATCTTTGAATAATATCAGTCTTTAAATGCTAAATATTTAAAGTGTACCTGAAGCACACTTGCAATAGTTTTACTTTAGCACAATCAAATATACTAAGAATATCTTTAATTGGACTTCAGCACTACTACTAAAATGCATTAAGTACAAAATGAGTTGTTCCAGTTTAGCAGACTTTAAGTATACCAGTTGATAGACATCAGCTGCTTTCTATCGGACAGAGAGATTAAAAGCATCATAGTTCAGAGATTCTCCTAAAGCTGATGCTCAAGCCTCATTAGACTCACTAGCGACTTCAATTAAAACCTTTTCATGTGATTGAACATCACACAGGTTCATGGACAGATCTGTAAAAGCCAAACACTGACCTTTACCAATGACACATCAATACCAGCTCAGACTCCAACAGGACCATCAGCTCGTTCTGCATCACATTCACTCATTAAACGACAGTGCTTTACACAAACAGACTTAATCAGACTCAGCATGAAGAAATCAGACCTCGTCATCATCATAGTGCTGCTGCTGCGGAGGAGGAGGATGTGACATGATTGTTTTATTAATAATAATAATGTATGGTGATATTGTCTGGTCTTCAGGCTGCTGGATCTTCTGCATTGTTTTTGAACTTGATGTAATGTGAGAAGAGAAAGTGTGACTTACCGTGAGAAACACTCGAGTGCGATCAGATCCGATGATGTGGATGAGTGTGAGAGCGCAGACATTCGCTGTGAGTGTGTGTGTGTGTGTGTGAGAGAGAGAGAGTGTGTGTGTGTGTGTGTGTGTGTGTGTGTG